GTCACGGATTGAAAGAGCTATAGAACTTTGAAATTGCTTTATGGCCTTTGAGTGGATTATTCACCAGTCGCATGAGACTCAATCTAGGCGGTCATGAAGCTTTGAAACAACAACTCGCAAAAAACCTAGCGGTCCCCTAAGATAGGAACAAACTGTAATATAGGAAAGCAGTAAGAAAATTGACATTGGCTTACCTCGAAAATATAAGCATAATCTCCTCCACTTTTCGGTATGGCAGTGCCGAGTTCAGCGTAGCACAATGCTCCCAGCATTGAGAATATCCCAGACAATACCCACACCACCAGGGATATGCCAACACTTCCAGCCTCTTGTAGCACGCCTAAAATGAGCCGCAGCGACTTTCGATCCTTTTGTTCTTCAAACAAAGTTATCAGTGTTATTATTTTTGCAAAGGATTTATCAGAAGTTGTTAGCCAGGAAAAGCTAAAAGGGGCTGAAACTCATACGCACTGAAATATCCTTACAAAACCAACTATTCTCTGCAATTTTTTTCTTAAATTCACACATGTACTAAAATTCTGATTACCCTTGGGACTGACGAAGATTCCGGAACCAACGATGACACCAACAATGATCGTGCACCCGTTAAATAGAGATATTCGTTGCCTGAGTTTCACACCCGTCGATACTGAACTCGAACTTTCCAACGGCTCCGGCTGGCTCATTTCTGAAAAGTGAAATGACGATTTATTTGCTATAGCAGATTTGCAGAGGAACTGAACTGTACGGAGCGATCGGTAAGAAACAATGTCGACAAAAGGACAGCAAGTGAATCACTCATGCTCAAGAAAGATCCCCTTAGTTTCCCCTGAGGCCCAAACGTGAACTGATACTGAAGGATACATGAAGGAATACAGAAGTAACTACATAATGACATTATTGTCAGCTCGAGCCCATATAATTATGATTATAGGATCATCGCAGGATATTGTCAGAACTGCCCCTGTTACAATATTTGAGGCCGATTACTTCGGTCCTTAGAATCCATTAAAAACTAGCTAATGAATTGATCAGGGAAGGAATCGGTTTTGAACGAAGAATAATACATGGAATAATCGAAAAGTTGCTGTTTGAAAGTGCACGAATTCTATTCATTCTTTCTTTGCCCCGCTTTTTTCTAGCAAATTTTCTATTCTAATAGCGAAATACTATGACGAAGGTCTCTTAGTACGACGAGTTGTGTTCAAAACTTTGGGT